TGCCGAAGGCTGTGCCCTCGCTGCCGCATTTACCCCGCGTGTTACAGCCCTGCGATAACGCACGAGCGCTTCAAAACACGCCGTTCACTGGCACCGCGTGTGTTCATTCAGCGCCTTGAGCGAAGTGGGGGCTCGGACTTGAGTGTAGTGGGTCTGAGGCTATGCAGCAGTCCTAACTCTGTTTTTGTAAACTTAGGGACCGCCAAAGTACACGAAATCAATTTTGAAGAAGGGTGATAAAACCAACTTTCCGAAGAAAGGGGACACTGTTCACTGCTGGTATACAGGAAAACTACAGGATGGAACCGTCTTCGATACCAATATTCAGACAAGTAAGGTCACGTGTGTGCTGCTCGGCTCGGGTTGCAAATGCATGTCAGAGAAAATGAGCTGGGCCCATTCAGCAGCCTTGGGCAGGGGTTTGCTTCTGGAAGGTGTGCACGGAGGGAGTCATAGAATGATAGAATCATAAAATGGTTTGGGTTGAAAGGGTCCTCAAAGATCATCTAGTTCCAACCCCCTTGATATGGGCAGGGAAACCCTTCACTACACCAGGTTGTCATGACAAACTGCTTTTCCCGTTGTCTTGAGCCGGCTGAGGGTGTCCCTGCAGCCTGCTCTTGGAGCCTGATTTTCCATGAGCAAATGCAGAGCGATATTTTAGGACTGGCTGGTGTCAAGTGACACTGCTGCATCTTGCCAGACCTCGCGTTTGGCATTCTCCAGGCCACAGATAATGTGAAATGCAGGGATTTAATCAGTGCTGAAACTGCTTTGGAGGAAAGATGGCTCCTGCCTGGGGAGCTTCTCTCATCTGTGGGACTCGAGCACCAACAGTGTAGCTAACGTCTCTAAATAGACACATCCTGGTGTACTTCTGTAACAAGCCCTTAAACATCGAGTCACTGAAACGAGCGATTTGAGATAGGCTGGTGTGCTGTATCCACTGTGGAGAAGAGAAGTATGCTGGTGTTTTTGTGACAGTTTCTCCATCAGAGGATTTAGGTATATTAAATTCTGAAATAATAGAAACACTTTTCCAGCAGTGATGTCTCGCCCTGAGAGGAACAGCAGGGCTGTCACTGGGATACTGTCTGAGTCATCGTGCTTGTTGTATGATGTTATACATTCCCTATTGACTTTTTTTGCTTCACTGACGTGTTTGTGATTTGTACCATCAACTGCAGTAGTTCAGAAATTAGTCTTTTAGGTTCACTGGATCAGTATCCGAAAGATGCTCGTGGAGTTTGGCTCTTGGTGCAACTTGAACATTTAATAGTGTTTTTAGTGTGCAGCACTAACCTTTCCCCTAAAAATCTGACAGTGGGCTAAAAATAATATTATAAAAAGAGATACTTGTATAAAGCATGATCGTAATAGTAATTTTAGGTAGAAGCGTGGTATCTGCTGGTGTGATATTAAAGCAAATGAACGTAAAACTGTCTTTCAGGTTCAAAGAAGAAAAAAGCAGCCAAACCTTTAAGTTTCAAAGTCGGCGTAGGAAAAGTTATCAGAGGTGTAAGTAAAGCATTAACGACTCCCTCAGAATCCAAAAAGAGTTTTCCATCTGCAGGATTTCTGACCAGGGTGCAAGTTTTGAGCTGCTGCTCTTTTTTCTTGTGAAGGTAAAAAGGCAAGTTTGAAGTGTTTACGCTCGCAGGATGTAACGTTTACTCTTTAGGGATGATTTATCCATCTGCAGTGTCATTCCTCTCATGAAGTAGTGTGTGGGAAAACAGTGCAACAACTACGTGTTCCCTCTGCAGCCTCTTGCACATCGCCCCGTGCTTTGCGCAACAGGCAGGCTGTTGCTTTCCCAGGGCTCTGCCTGTCACTGTCTGCACTCGATGTGCTTTAGCCTGTCAGATTTTCTTGCTGCGTGCCTCTTCGGGCAGCGTTCAGTTCATGCCTTCACTGAACTGGATGCTGAAGCTCCAAATTCTGGCTGTTGCCATGCACTGCAATGAGTTGCAGTTCCATACTGTAACTCCTCTGCCCTGTCCATCACCCAGTGCTACAGTGGTGCAGGCAGAGGCTGTGTGAGGGGAGTATCTAGGTGGACCAAAAGTAGAAGAACCAAGTGTTTTGCACACCCAGCTGCTTGCTTACATCCTGACATCACAGACGGTGGCGTGAACCTAGTGTCTCTGGGAGATACCAGCCAATGTGCAAAACAGATGAGGTGCTTACTCTGGCGCCAAAGCCAATAGTGACATTGGCGGCTGTCTGCACAAGATAAGAATGCAAGAAGCATCTTGCACGTACCTGACTTTATGCTAGATTGGGTTTGGTTTGGTCTTTAATCTTCTGTGTTGCTGCTGTGCAGGAAAAAGACCTTTATGAGTGATGGGATTGGAACTGAGAAGGAAAAAAGGTCTCTGGGCTTGTGGCCAGTACTGCAGGAGTGGCAGGCGCTTGGGTTTTCCTTTAGCCTCTTGGCATAGCACTCCTGTGTGGGTGCCTGGTTCTTCCTCAAGCAGTTACATGGCACGAGCAGCAGCTGTTTATTGTGAAATGAATGCTGGCTTTGGGCAGTGCCAGTCTCGAAGGGGACAAGCAGTGAAATAAAATTAGTCTTTAAGCATCAGCCTTAGAATCCTAGAATGGTTTGGGTTGGAAGGGACCTCAAAGATCATCTAGTTTCAACCCCCCTGGGACACCTTCCACTACAACCAGGTTGCTGAAAGCCTCATCCAACCTGGCCTTGAACACTTCCAGGGATGGGGCAGCCACAACTTCTCTGGGCAACCTGTGCCAGTGTCTCACCACCCTCAGAGTGAGGAATTTCTTCCTCTATCCAATCTAAATCTCCCGTCTTTCAGTTTAAATCCATTGCCCCTTATCCTATCACTACATGCCCTTGTCAAAAGTCCCTCTCCAATAAATAAACGCTAATCCATGGATGCTGCAGAATGGTGGGGAAACATGGGGCAGAGACAAGCCCTCGGTGCATATGGAATGCCTTCTGAAACAGCAGATACTTGCACTGAGACAGCCATCTTCATTGCTCCACTGATGTCTGCCAAGCACGAGCCTCAGCTGTGAAGCACGGTACTGGCTAATGTGGAGCAGGGAGCATCAGCCAGGGGGGAGCTTTTCCAAAAATAAAAAGAATGTGGAACTACCGCACAGTGTAGTCTGCGGGGGGTGAACGTGCTGGAGAGAATGAGGTGGTATTGCGCAGGTATTTGTAGGAACAAACTGGAAAAGCATATGATATGTACTTCTTGTGTTCTTCTGTTGTTTATTTGAGTTTGTTTCATCTTGGTTTTAGTGGGATGAAGCTCTCTTAACAATGAGTAAAGGAGAGAAGGCTCAACTGGAAATAGAACCTGAGTGGGCGTATGGCAAGAAAGGGCAGCCCGACGCTAAGTATCCTTCCACAGTCGTTAAGGAACTTGGAAATGCTTGCTGGAATAAAGTGCTCTATGGACAGGGATATAATGGAGGGAGGAACATTCACTCGTTACTTCGAACGTTAACAAATTTAAAAAATTCACTTAATGGATGGATGCAGTTGCCTGTTTGTTTTGAAGAAAAACTCCTGTAGGGAGTAGTGCCCTCCAGATGACAGAGGAGAACTTGCTGTCATTTTCTGCCTGCTTTTTTGCTGTAGCTGCTTCCGAATGCTTACTCCCACAGTGCCCATGGGGATGCTGACCAGTGGCAGGGAGGTGGGAGGAAGGTTACCTGCTTCAGCTGTGGAGGCAGCAGTTAGAACTTGGCTAGAAGAACAGGTTCTGGGGTACAGCTGAAACGTGGGATTGAGCGAGCGAGCCTGCAGAAGGCCTTATGCATCATGTTTCTTTTTTGCCACACCTTCAGGAAGAAGGGACGTGATTGTTCTCTCTTGCTAAAATCCCATATCTTGTTAATTCTAAAGGACTAGAAATTCTTCTTCTCTCTGCTCTATAGTTACAGTCTAACCTCCTCCCTGAGGAAGACCAGTGCCTGTGTCCCAAAAACAGAGACAACACTTAGGTAGTTCAGTGGGACTCAGCTGCTCAGCAGCAGGACGGGAATAACAAGAAGCACGTCTCAGTAACGTGTACGTGCAGAACCGGTACCGACGTCTCGTGAGAACTCGTGTCACACAGCAGTCGTGGCTCCATGCTGAAGCCAAGATGCTAAAACAGGTCAGTGAAATGCAAAACTGACACAGGAGAAACAGGAGAACAGGTGGCAGATTACTGGGCACAGCTGTGTTAACTGTGGGGTGGTGCTTTGGTGGTTGGGTTTTGTTTTTTGAAGCTTCCTTAACTTGTGCAAACAGGATTCCACCAAACGCAAAACTTTTCTTTGAAGTGGAATTGGTGGATATCGAATGAAATGAAGTTTCCTTTGCTGCTGGGAATGCATTTATGATCCAGAAGGCTTCTGCCAACTGCAGTTTTGCTCTCGTAACTTCAGGATATAGTTACAACTGTGGCCTTGTATTTGGAATCCAGTTTGTTCTCCCTGCCCCCACCTGCTGTACAGTAACATACCACTAAAGAAACCAGAGTTTATACATGCACGTGACTTCACTTGTTCCTGTGTGTTATCACCTTAAAGCTCTTCTCTTGCTCTGGGGGAAGGATTGCCTAGATCTCCAGCAAACTGCTAAAGGAGAAGCAGACCCAACTGGAACTGCCCTCACTGGTTTTGTTATCCCTTTTACTGGAAAGCATTTACGTCCCTCCCCAGCTCAAGTCTTCAGCAATGCATTTCCCTTTCAGTTCCTCTGTCTCCTGTGTGGCTCCTGAGTTTTACAACAGCCCTCACCCAACAATTCTACTTAACCTAAAATATTAGAAGAGGGAAAAAAAATTACATTCTAGGCATTCCTTAAGTTAGGAAAAAAAAACCCCCACTGAACTTCTCCTTTAAAGGCATTTTCTAGAAGTGTCAGGCATGATGCCCACCCCCTTCTACAAGAGAACCACAAGTGCCACAAGCATTCCTGAGGTGTTCTGTGCCACAAACAAACATTCCTGAGCTGTTCTGTGCCACAAACAAACATTCCTGAGCTGTTCTGTGCCACAAACAAACATTCCTGACACGTCTGCCCCGAACAAAACGGGTGCTGAGCTGCCACTCCTGGCTCGAATGAGACAATCCAAGAAAGCTCAGAGGACTACTGAACTCCTTTTATTACAAAAATGAGAATGATCACTTTGATCAAAATGAAAAAAGTTTGCTCACACTGTGTACATGAAAAACTCTAAATACAAAAATCATCCCAAACACATTTTGTGCTTTTTAAAAAAGAACGCAACATAATTTTGCACTGCATTTTAATTTTTGACCCCCACATGGAATAGAAAATCCGTACTGCAGCTTGCAAAGGCTGCCAGCGTCATCAGAAGAGTTTCAGCCATGAAAATGTGAACAAACAGCCTGGGGTTCACTCGCTGGGCACGGGAAGGGATCCCATGAGGGAGCGGGTGACATTTGGGCTGGAGAGTGGAGCAGGAGGGGACAGCCTTGCCCTGAGCTGGCAGCCCTCCTGCCCTGCGAGTTTCCTGCAGCAGCCACGGTGGCCAACACTGGTCAGCAGATGGCTTTGAGGGGAAAAAAAAAAAAAACCACAAAACCTACAGATTTATTGATTAAGTCTATGGAATTGTTATGGGACCCCCTCAAAATTCTTCAGATTTCTTCATAAATTACTGCAGGGAATTAAAAAAACAAACAAAAACAAAATGCATTTATGGTGAACGAGAATTGTACAGCGATACCAGTTACCAGCACACAAATCTTCACGCAGACCCTGTGAACGTCGGCTCGTTTCACATGCAAAAGACAAGAAGCGGGTATGACAACAGTCCTTTCGCATCCCTAATTTAGAAAAATAGATTTCTTTATTCCGTCTCTGTTGAAACTGCAGCACAGTGAACTTCGCTCCCTCTTCCTATCAAGTCGGATGGTAATACTGTCCGTAATTCCAGGCGTTCTGGTAATTGTACTAGGAAAAAAAAAAAAAACAAACAGTAAGGTGAGTGGGCACCCGTGCTCCATGAGGGACACCCGTTGTTGCAGATGGACACGGCCACGCGGGCCACCGGTCAGCACCGTTAAAGTTACGGAA